GAAGAGGAGCGGAGAAAAACGCAATATTCCTTATTTTCTTCATTTTTCACTACATTTAATCTTAGGGGAAATTCCCTTGTTATTTTATGTTTTCGGCAATGAAATTAAAAACATAAAAAAATATTAAAAATGGTAAAAGGAAAGGAAACAAAACGAAATCGGTTATTTATAAAAATTTTCTTGGAATTTAATTTTGGCAAACTTACGATTAATCTAATATTTCCAAAGAAAAGGGAAGAATGACGAAAATTGATGAAAGGGACGGGAACTCATGATTATCAGGAGGGGGACCTAATTTCGCCTCGATTACTCCGAAGCTAGTTCTGACCCTGGATTGAATATTTTCCCTGGGTTTTGTCATTTTTTTATTACCCCTGACGGCTGAGATTTCCTGAGTCGCTTTCCTTGGTTTGCTTGATCACTAACACTGACCACTGTTAAGACGTTCTGAGTGCGGGGGACACATGGACAGGCGCGCGACTGACGTGCTTCGGGTGCGGTAGATACCTGTGTCACTACGGTGACGTATTTTCAGACTCCGGACAGCTGCGCTGATTTATTCTGACAGATATTCCAGTTTTGGGACCTCGGCGGCAGATTGTTTTCAGGTCCGGAAAAGTTGCGGCACTGTATATCAGGCTCGGGACACTGGTGGGAAACAGGCTTGGTACTATTATTTATTTGAGACCGCCTGGCTCGGTACGCTGGTTTGAAACAGGGCCGGTATATTTATTTGGCTGAGACCGGCTGGTTCGGGACACTGGTTGGAAACAGGCCAGTACTATTATTTATTTGAGACCGGCTGGCTCGGGACACTGGTTGGAAACAGGCTCGGTACGCTGGTTTGAAACAGGCCCGGTATAATTCTGGTACCGCTGCCTGGGCGGGCCCAGGCTTGCGAGCCTGGCCTAGACTAAGTCATTGGTCCGCGTCCGCTAACGCTCACAGGCAAGAGTGCGGCCAGGATATAGGAGAGGCCAGTGGACCACATGAGGGAGGAAGGTGTACGTGGTGTACACCGCGGAAAAGCTCCGTTCCGGGGGAAGCATGCCAGGTGTACACAGCGGAATACAGCGTGCGTCTAGGCAGGTCAACGAGCGGGGAGCGGAGGAGAGAAGACTGTGAGTGAGAGAGAGAGTAGACTGTGTGTGAGAGAGAGAGTAGACTGTGTGAGAGGGAGAGAGAAGACTGTGAGTAAGAGAGAGAGTAGACTGTGTGAGAGGGAGAGAGAAGACTGTAAGTGAGAGAGAGAGTAGACTGTGTGAGAGGAAGAGAGAAGACTGTGTGAGAGGAAGAGAGAAGACTGTGAGTGAGAGAGAGAGCAGACTGTGTGAGAGGGAGAGAGAAGACTGGGAGAGAGAGAGAGAGAAGACTGTGTGTGGGAGAGAGAGTAGACTGTGTGAGAGGGAGAGAGAAGACTGTGAGTAAGAGAGAGAGTAGACTGTGTGAGAGGGAGAGAGAAGACTGTGAGTGAGAGAGAGAGTAGACTGTGTGAGGGGGAGAGAGAAGACTGTGAGAGAGAGAGAAGACTGTGTGTGAGAGAGAGAGAAGACTGTGTGAGAGAGAGAGAGAAGACTGTGTGNGGGAGAGAGAAGACTGTGAGAGAGAGAGAAGACTGTGTGTGAGAGAGAGAGAAGACTGTGTGAGAGAGAGAGAGAAGACTGTGTGTGAGAGAGAGTGAAGACTGTGTGCGAGAGAGAGAGAGAGAGAGAGAGAGAGATTGCTCGAGCGAAAAGCGGGGGGGGGGATTTACTGCAGAGGAAGAGTGCATCTGGCCCGAATGGCAGCCCGGTTCATTCACAAGGCTTGAGATACAGCGGGGCCGAGCGAGGGAGCAAACCGCGCTTGTGCGGAAAGAAGGAGCGGTGCTGCCGTTGGCATGAGCTTGAACACGTGCGGCCGATGCTGAGGCTTTGACCGGGAGTCTATGATTGAGGATGGCTCTTGATAGATAAACTTTGACGCGTGATTGAAAACAGAGTCGAATGATTAAAGACAACTTGATGGTGATGTGCGCCTATTGATTGATCGATTAATTGGTTTATTGATTGATTGACGAGAGGACAAAACGAGCTACCAGCGCTGTACATAGTGATGGTTGCGCAACATAAATAGTGGAGATGTATGGTGCCTTATTGATGATGTGATTGATATCCGAACGACTGATCTTCGAGTGTAATTGGCTGGCCGTGAAAGAAATTGGCACAGGGAACGGTATTGAGTGGTCGGTCCATGATCGAGTGAGGAGAGAGGAAACATAATGACTTTTCTTTTTTTTGTGTGGTAGGATACTTAGTGTTGGCTATCCATCTGCTCAGGGCAAGAGACTGTATCAGATGGACGGGCAGCCGGCCGAGATGAACGATTACTATGATCGAATGCCGTGTGCACGCTGTTGAACACAAAGAAGCCATTGATGTCTGTCTGTGACTCTGTGTGCATGATCTACTGTGCATGAGTGGCGATGTTGCACGCTTACGGCAATGCTCGAACWTGATGAGCTGCAGAACAGAGTCCATAAGTCACGTTTTTGAGTGCTTGGTAGCCTGATTAGTCTCCATGGTTAATTGCTTTCTGATCGAATAGCCTGATTGGTCCCCATGGTTATTTGTTTTCTGATCGAATGACATTCAATGTGKAATGGATGGGTTATGGTCAACGTCAACAGTGGAGCGGGAAGGGGGATAGATGATTTGACTGACTACACGGCTGGATAAAAAGGGGGACGAAAACGACGCTCTCGCCAGCATCTTAAGCAATGCTCAGACTAGGACATTTGCGACTACTCTAGGCGGATTGCTGACATATGCATCGCAGAAAGTCCTTATACTACTGTATTTCACAGACTCAAGAGCTCAAGATAGCCTTCGGGAGTGTCAATATGGTGCCAAACTGTGAGCCGTTCACATGATCTTATTGAATGTTGAAAGAGTCAGGACCGCAGCATAACAGATCAGACCAAACCAAGCCAAAAATCAGATCAGACCAAGCCAGACCAAGATCAGGACCAGACCAGATCAGTTCATCAAGATAAAGACCAGACCAGATCAGATCATATCAGACCAGTTCAGATCACCAGACCAGACTCAGACCACACGGGTTGAGACCGGACTCATACTCTACCTGAAGAGACCAGACACATACCATTCCAGACGAGACCGGACTCAGACTGTACCGGCTGAGGCCAGACCTGGACCGAACCGGCTACGACCCAGATTGGGTCAAACCAGATGCGACCAGATTGTTCTTTAAGCATATCCCCATGCCTGAATGGTGAATTGGGCTTTGGTTTCTCCTGAGGTAATGACTTAGTGTTACATTTGTTGAGTTGCTGTGTGATGTCTTCTGATTTGTTGCTTCACCTCCTCCTGCTGTTGGCGTTGAGCTAGGTGTCACTCACCAACATGGTGCAGACCAGAACCCAGGACCGACCTCTCACAGATGTACAGATGTAGTAAAGATTGCACAGCGGAAGGCTGAAATACCAATAATCAGACCCAATCAATGTTGTGACACAGACTGAATATCATCATCATCATCACGTGGTGTGAAGGGGGACCTGACGCTATCACACACAGACGAAGTGCCAGGCACTGACATACATGGATGGGGAGGAAGGAGAGACGAAAGAGAGAGAGAGCAGGCACACGCAGAGGGGGAGAAAGACAGGGAGAGAGAGAGAGAGGGATAGCTGATTCACGCAGAGAGAGGGGGACTGGAACTGAGTTAGACAGGGAGAGAGAGAGAGAGGGATAGCAGGTTCACGCAGAGAGAGGGGAACTGGGACTGAGACAGACAGAGGCAGAGAGAGGGAGTGAGAGTGCCAGTTTTAACTTTGCTACTCTTCTATTTTATCATACTCTTCCTAATTGCTGAAAAGCGCTGTGTGACGACGGGGCTCGACGGATCTTGAACTTGATTGGCCCCTTTCACCCTACTGGTCGCTGAGGACCTCGGAGCGGGCGCGGCGAAGTGACAGGCGCCGTAGCCCATGGCTTCAGCGAACGGTAGGTAGCCCCCTCCCCGGGTTTCCTCAAAGCGTGCCACAGGGGCGCAAGAGACAGCGGCAGTCAAGACTGGACGAGGTGTACGATCCGGATGGGCAGGCCGAATTCAGGGACACTTTTTTGCAGTGGGCCTACGATGTCGGTATTCCGTTCGCTGCATTTAGGAGGCAGTCATGGCTTCGGCACAAGAAGCAGTTGGCCTCCATGCCTCGCGGAGTGCGGCCAGTTTATCCGTCCTTCAAGGACATCGGGGGCGTTGGTATTTGATGAGCAGCGAGGGAAGGTTGCCGTGATGTTGAGGGAGGTCCGTAGTTCGTTTGAGTCGATAGGGGCCACCATTTTGTCGGACGGTAGGCAGTCGCGAGACGCTAGGCCTATAGTCAACTTCCTCGCAGCCGCCAAGCGCGGTGCCCTCTTATACGCCACCGTCCAGCRAGACGGTTCAGTGTCCGAGACGGCACAGATCGTCCTGAGGAGGTGGAAGGCCATTTTTCGGTCTTTCCCTCCGAAGGACGTGTTGGCCATTTGCACGGACTCTGCGTCGAACTACACGTCGGCCGCAAAGCTCCTTGCGAAGGACTCTGATCTGAACACTCGCCATATCACTTGGCTCCCGTGTGCCACCCACGTGGCCAACTTGATGTTGTCTGACATCGGGACACGGGTTCCTTGGGTTACGGACACCATTTTCAGGGCTCGGGCGTTGGTGCGATTCATTAAATCGCACGGCGCGGCTTATCCCCTGTTCAGGGTGAAAAGCCGTCGCCGCACACTTGTGCACCCAGTGGAGACGCGATTCGCGTCTGTTTTTTTTATGTTTGTGTGTTTGTTGGCGAGGCGTAATGCCTTGGAGAGCATGCTTCATGATGACGAGTGGGACAAGATCCCATGGGAGTCGTCGAAGCGTAGACAGGCTCTGTGGGTTCGACAGCTCATCCGCTGCGCCGGTTTCTGGCGCAACGTTCAGCACGCTGTCGCAGTCACGACCCTTGTCCACCAGCTGCTGAGGAGATTGGACAGGGGCGGCATGATCATGTCCACGATGTACTCATGGTCACAGGAGTTGGTACGGCAGGTGGCTGCTGCTGACGTCCCTGATGACATGCGGGGGCCTTGCGTGGAGGTGGTGCAGATCCGCACTATGCATATGCTCGAGCCTGCGCACGCTGCGGTGCACCTGCTCAACCCCCGCAGACGCTCTCTCCGTTACTACGAGTCCGCCCGCAGGACAGCTGCGGACCTCGAGGTCGTCACCGAGTGCGACTCGTTTTTGTTGGCGCAAACAGGCGGTGATCGTGCTAGGGATGCATACTTGCGGGTGCGTGAGCAGATGCGATCCTTCCACTCCAGGGTCTGCCACCACACAGAGAGGGTGATGAGGGACGCCGAGGCGGAGGCCTGTGTAGGGGACGAGGAGACGAGCAGGTCCGCGTCATGGTGGGTGGAGCACGACGCATGCTTCCCGGACTTGCAGGAGATCGCTGGCCGTGTGATGCACATGTGGATGTCCGCCTCTCCTGCTGAGAGGAATTGGGCAGAGCATGAGCGCATTCACACGGCCAAGCGCAATAAGCTCGAATTCAGGAAGGTCGCGCAGTTAGTTGAGATTGCTACAAATCTCAAACTACTTGGATGCAGCGAGCGGAGTGGGGGGTACGTTCTTCCGTGGGGTCACATGGCGACCTTGGCTGAGGCGCAGCCAGAGGAGTATACACACCCGGTAGTCGCAGATGAGGAKGAGGAGGAGGAGCCTGAGCCAGAGGAGTGGGGAGCTAGACCTCAGACAGCAGTGCTGGCACACGAGATCGCTGCACAGGTTCATCGCTTCCAGCAGCAGGGTGCTCGTCGACCAGCGGGGGTTGCCGAGGTTTTCGGTGCCAGAGCCGAGATACTCCATCCTTACGACTACGTGCCTCCACCGCCAGCAGAGCCAGTGCAGGCGTCGGAGGAGCAGACGGACTCGGAGGTCGGAGAGGATTTGCCACCTGGTGTAGATAAGAGTGCGGAGAGACTCTACAACACATACGGAGGAGGAGCCGATGGATTCCAGCCAYGCTGCACATTCATTCGCGAGAGCGACGACGATCCCATCCCCGCCACCGATGTAGGGTTGGATGGTGGACAGCGAGACACGGACGACGCGGCCGCCGCCGCCGCCGACGAGCCGTTACTGCTTCGCAGAGCACGGTTGGCGCAGCAGGGAGCCGCGCGGCCCGCGCCTGCCGCCAAGGGTCTCAGGAGATCGGCGAGGCTGCAGCAAACGCAGGCGGGATCGACTTCAGGTGGTAGACGCGAGGCGTCGGACTACCTAGACGACATCAGAGATGAGGAGCATTTGCCGAGCCAGCATACGCCCGCCTCGACACCTCGAGGCGACAGTCAGCAGAGGGAGTTGCGCACGAGTGACTTTCAGGGCCTTGGACCAGGATTTGCGGGCAGCGGTGTTCGAGGGAGGGCTGATGGGCGAGAGAGAGTGGGGGATGAGGCCGAGTACCATCCTGTGCAGGGTGGTGGTCCAAAGTCCGTGGAGGAGCTCCATGCTCAGATGGATCGAGAGGAGGAGCAGCGGCTGGAGCAGTTGCAGAGAGAGTGGGTGGGCAGAGATAAGTACATGGCGGAGCAGCAGCGTGCTAGAGACTTGGAGATGGTACTGCAGTCCGTGATGAGGGTGGGGTAGAGCATAGCGTTCGTACAGTCCCGCACGCGTTTCCAGCCGACGCAGCGATACCCGATACCGCAGTGCCCGAGACGTCGCCCCAGGGAGATGTGGACTCCGGGTCTGCCGCGGGAGGAGAGTTAGGTGCGTTTGAGTATGGCGATCCGATCGTGTCCGACGTCAGAATTGGGTTGTGTGCGGCGGGCACATTGCAGCCAGGCGATGCAGCCACTCAGGAGGCAGTTCCCATGGACGACGATTCAGGCGAGTTGGATGGACGCCGCATACCCGATGCGGAGGGCGATGATGGGGCGGGTGATGCCGACCGTTTTGCACCTGCGCACAACACCGGTCCAGGTCGATCGACACACGGGTCGATTGGGGTTGACGCATGTGGACCTGTACAGGGCGATGCACATGTAGACGATGCTGGAGGCAGTATGTCGTGGGCGTTGGTGTCGTGTCATCCTTCACTGGTCGCGCACGAGGATGCGTCACATCCTGCGGAGGGTAGAGGTGGTGTTGATGAGCAGCGGCTTCGGGTGCACGCACGACTCGCATCCCCCCAGTCACACCTCCTCCACCGACTAGGATCCGCAGCAGTCCGACAACTGTCACGGGCAGGGAGAGAGAGAGAGGCCACATGTCCTCGTCGTCATCGCCTCGCCTAGACACACAGCAGTCGCTTCACCGTTCGTGGAGCACAGTGCGACGAGTTGACGACGGTGTGCGGGGTGATTTTGCGGCGCATCAGGCATGGTTGAGCGAGGAGCAGAGACCGGCACCGAGTTTGAGGACTGCTTATCACATTCTCGGCATGCCTAGATACGGCGCGCGCAGAGGCTTACTTTTAGGTTCACGCATGGCCGCGCCTGCGTTGTATACTTCCGGAGGGGACGGTGTGCCGGCGCCTAGTGGAGAGCGATCTCACACCACCATTAACGAGATACAGTCTCGTATTGCTAGGGACGAGGCGCGATTGAGAGAGTTGAGTGACACATTGCACAGGGAGCGCGCGAGGTTGGCGACGGCGCGTGCCTCAGAGGCCGACACAGAGGAGGAGCCCATCGAGGTTGTGAGGCGCAGGGAGAGAGAGAGGGAGAGATCGGCCGCGGCAGGGACACATAAGACATCATCCACACGGGGACGACGACGAGGAGGCAGGGGCGGGGGGCAGTAGATATGTCCTCCTGTTTATGTGGATGTTCCCCATTGTTCGGTTCGTTGGTCGCTGTCTTTTGGTAGTTTATCATATGTACTTTAGTTTCACAGTTATTTATGTGTTTTTTTTTCGCCTTCCCAGGACTCCTGTGTAGTCCAAGGCGTCGGACGGTTTGTGTGTAGTCTCAGGAGTCTGGACTCATGTGTACTTTAGTTTCGCGGAGGTTCTTTGTGGTACAATTTTTATTTCTTCGTTTTTATGAGACATATGTATACTAGTGACAACTGTTCTTTTTGTTTTTTTTGTTTTTTATGAGGATGACGTCTGTACATATGGAGAGTATGTAGTTTTCTGATGTGTGTGGATAGGAGTCACAGGACGAGCACTCGTTCGACAGTACATTTGTGTTTGCGGGGATTTGAGTGGTATATCGCATGTTCTACGACTCGTGCAGCAGTTGCATTGCTTTTTCCCGACGAAATGTACGACTTGCGTTCCTGATCTCCATGTCATATGTTTTGAAACCATCAGTTCATGTCAATTGCGGAATGAAAAATGTCCCCATGTGTTTTACTCTGCCGACTTGTGTTGACTTATGTATAAATACACACCTCAACGGGCCCCACCAACCCACTATTTCGAACCCCACACCTTTTGCCCTCCCCAGCCTCCCCGACACACGATAAAACCCCCAAAATACAACCCCCTCCCTGAAACCGCAACCACCACCGGAATTTTTTTTTTTTTTTTTCCTATACGTGCCTTGCGACTTGTCAAACACCCCCGCTTCGAAAAATTTGCGAAATGGGCGGGGGGGGTATTTTTTTTTTTACCCTCGTAGGGGACAAAAATTACCCCCCCTAGAAAATCAATTTTTTTTTTTTTTTTCCGTGCATGGGCCTGGGGACGTCATGCGCCGCCGGGAGCCGTTTACCGATTTCCGAACGGACCTCCGTTTCGGCCGCCACGGCGCCGCGCGTCCGTGCACTCGCGGCCTCGTCCGCGTCCGCGTCCGCGTACTTGTCCGCGGATGACCGCCGCCGAGAGAGATTCATAGTCCTCGCCACCTCACCTCCTCCTCCTCCTCCTCCTCCTCCTCCCACTGCTTCTCTTCCTCATCGTCCTCCTCTTCAGACTGCAGACACGGGCCCCCAACCTTCCGCCGACCCCCAAAACGGCCTCACCCTCCCCAACACCCCCCCTGACCCACCCAAGAACAAAGTTTCGCAAAAAAAGAARAGGGATTTAGGTAGGTCGCAATGGGTGCAGAACAGCGCCATCGTACAAAAAAAACAAAAATTGGCTCTATTTTTCACTCTCCCGGTCACTCGGGCAGGCAGGTCCAACTTACCCGGCTGCCGGGCTGGGCGAGTGGGCCCGAGCCGGTCTGGTAACCCAGCCAAAAAAAATAAAATAAAATAAAAAAAATCTTAGACAGTTAGGCAGGAACGAAGTAAGGACGTGAGTGTTGGTGAGAGCCTGACACGTGTCATATACTTGTTTGGTGGTCATTGGAACAGAGCAAGGATAGCTGTTGCGGAGAGGCGTCCACGGCGGTGACTCCGACTTGAGGAAGGGAAGAAAATGAGGAGCCGATGGCTACAGTGTTTATGGATTGCCTTGTAGCTTGGACCAGACCATCTTCGCGATTTTCTTGCAGTGGGAAACTGAGAGAGCAAGCTGTTTGCTTGATAACCCAAAGGACATCGTCTGTTTATGGGAGATGTAAAATGAATGGCTGGCTGTGCCTCCACTGTAGATCTGCACTGGCGTGTAGGAGGAACTGCCGGAGCGCTGTTGCTGCCTTTAACAGAAAGAGTGGGTGGAATCTGCTAGTGACAAAAGGACTTCGTCAGCGGACACTAGACTCAAGGACTCCTTTGAAGTCATCGCGATGGGCCTCTCCAATGATGCAAGCGGCACTGGGGGCAAAGTCTCAAGGCGCGGAAGATGACGAAAGACACGATGACGAAGCCGAGGGCCATCGTCAGCAATTTCTGGGCAGCAGAGAAGAGCCTTTGTTTGGCGGCAGTGTGAGTGGGCGGGCCATTTACGACAGGCCAATTTCGATCTTCGACCGTCCGGTTCCGCTCATCTACAAGCCGGGATCTCGGTACTATGGACAGAGGGATCCGCGGTATGATGTCGGGGGCGGAAGGAAGAGAGATGTCAAACGAGAGACCCATAACCAGCAGCAGCAGCAGCAGCAGCAGCAGAGGCAGCGCACATGGGAGGATGACTTTGCAGAGAGCGACAGGGATTGGGGTGACCCCGAACTCGATAAATTGGATCTCCCATTTGATTTCAAAAAGCTAAAGTACATGAAAGATGTTCCGGATAAGCGGACGATCTCCAGGGGGCATGCAGCAGCCGAAAGGGGCAGAGGACGGGGGCAATATCGTGGGAGAGACCAACCTGAGGAGGAGGAGGAGGAGGCAGCGGAAGGTTACAGTGAACCTCTGGATCCAAAATTTGCCAAGGGCGTTAGCAAGGAGCTTGATGAAATGCTGCAGCGATCTCTGCGGGCAAAGTCCACAGGGAGTAAGATGGGGAGGGGACATGGTCAAAGGGAAGAGGGAGGTGCCACCAGTCTTGGCTCACAAAGGGTATCAGACGTGAGAACTCCACGAAGTGGAGGGCGTGGGACAGGACGAGGCACCACTCCAGCAGGGTACCAAAGCGATCCAACCCCTGGATCTGTGGCAGGATCGATGCTTGGCAGAGGTAAAGGGCTGGGCTCTGTTGTTGTCATGGGTCAGTCCAGGGGCAGGGGAAACGGACTTGTACCACCTGACTATAGAGTGGGGGGTATGGTGAGGGAGCAATCAGCCTCTCCTGCTGGGTTTCAGGGGCTCGGACGAGGGAAATCGGCATGGGAAACAGGGTTGGGGATTAAGGCTGGTACTGAGCGTGCTAACAAGGAGCGGGGGAGCTCAAACGACAGTGCGAACGGCTTTGTTAGTGTTTCCGAAGACCCCTTCAGCACGGCAGCTGACTGGGGTGCAGCGAGAACTAACCGGGCCTCAGCGGAGGAGGATGAGGATTATGACATCTCACTCTCGGAGCGAGGTTATGATGTGACTAGAATGAGGAGATCAGAGGGCTGGGGAGAGTCTGACAAGGTCCATGACACTCAGGAGGATGCAGATTACAGGGATTCTGACGAGAGGCCGTTGCAAGATCTGAGGAGTGGAAATGACGATGTCTTTAGTGCCGACTCATCTGCACAGCAGCTAGCCGCAGGTGAAAAGGGGCGTCCACCCTCGGCCCGCAGGGTACCGGAAAGTAAGGAAGCAGGCTATAAGGATCAGCCGACTACGGAGAAGAGAGTGGGGAGGGGAAGACGGCTGAGGTGGCGACAGCTCATGGCAGCAGACGAGAATGACGTTGCTGAGGAAACGCTGGTTAGTGATGCTGCTGTTGCTGACAAGGGTGAGGGTGAGGGTGGGATCGTGGACGAGGTGGAGGAGGATGGGGAAGAATATGAGGAGGAGACAGATGAGTATGAGGAAGTTGAAGACGAAAGTGATGACGATGGAACCAGTCTGCGGCATGAGGCACAGCCAGAGTCCGTCCGGGCGAAGCAATGGGAAATCGACTTTGACAAAATAAGCACGGCGAAATGGAGTCCCGTACATTCCATGGCAGCTGGTGGCTCATCTGTACCGCTCGTGGATCTTTGTCTCAAGAGGGGTCTTGATGTTGACAGCGTGGATAAAGACGGGCTGGTGCCGATTCAGAGAGCAGTAATTTGCGGACGGGAGAAGACGGTTCGGACGTTAGTCGAGTACGGAGCTGATCCCTTTGTCAAAGATAGGGAGGGTGCAAGTTTACTTCACTTTGGAGTGCAGGCCAAGGAGGTCGATGTCGTCCGGTCCTTGCTGAAGTATGGCCTAGACGTAAACCAACCAGATATGGATGGATGGACTCCTCTCCACGTTGCATCGCTCGGAGGGTGGCCGTCAATGATAACGTTCTTGCTGCACAATGGTGCCGACCCACGCGCCGTTACAAATGATGGGACGACGCCCCTCGAGTTAATTGAGCGGTATGGGCCTGGGTACAATTTCCTGAAGGGGCAGAACGCTCTCCGCGTTGCGCTGGGATTAGCAGAGTTGTTTGAGCAAGCCCCTGGCGCGGAACAGGCGTATGACAATCTTGTTGTTTCTGATGCCAATTCCGATGGCGATGCGGGACCTGATGGTGCACTGCAGATGGCGGCGCAGGGTGGGTATACTGCTGAAGATAAAGTGCGCATTGCGGAGTTCTTCAAAAACTTTGGAAAGGATAGGCCCCTCAAGTGGATGCCTTTGCACACCCTAGCTGGCGCTGGAAACACGCTGCCGCTGATCCATCTCCTTGTGGCAAATGGTGTCAGCATCGAAATGAAGGACAGGGACGGGAGGACGCCGCTGGAGAGAGCTGTGTGGTACCGCCAAGAGAACACAGCGCGGCAGATGCTAAAGCTGGTGCTCGCCAACCCCAACGTCAAGGATGTGCATGGTGCCACGCCCCTCCATTATGCAGCACAGAATGGGTCGAATGATCTCTGCAAACAACTTGCCAGGTTTGGCGCAAACGTGAATGCCCAAGACAACGATGGATGGACCCCTCTACATGTCGCTGTGCAAATGGGCAGATGGGACACTGTGGAGAGGCTTCTGAAGGCCAGGGCAGACTGGCAGATAGAGAATGCAGCGGGGCTGCGCCCAGCTGACATTGCTCAATGTTATGGAAAGTCTCACGGTTTTGCTGACCTTACGAAGATGCTGACGAAGCCACCGAAGAAGATTGCTCAAGCAATACATCAATCCATGTTCGACAGGGGGAAGATGAAGAAGAAGCGCAAGAATAAGATGAAGAAAAGGAAGAAGCGTGGTACCTATTTCCCTCCTGAAATTACTGCGCTTCCTCTTTAGACAGCTTTCCTATTTTATTTTTCCATCTCCGTGGTGGTCCCAACCATTACATCCATTGCTTTGATCCAATGTCGACAGTCTGGGCCTCGCTCCACTGTTTTTCCGTCTCCATGTTGATCGAAGAAGCGCAAGCATAGGAGATGATAAGACAAAGAAAACGACGAAGCGTCGGAAGCGGTTGATTCCCCCTTTTGGATAATCTGCGGGTATGTTCACCCGCTGTTGCGCATCATGTTTTTGGTGGTCGTGATGATTTCATTTTCCTCTTTCATCATGTCATTTCTCATTGCTTTACTTAATCGTTTTAGGGATACTGGGCCTCGCTCCACTACTCGCCAAATGTGCGAAATGAGAATGAATCTTCCGCTAGAACATGGAAAGATACACCGCTGTATTTTTATGTCTTTTGTGCATGTGGAGAGAAGTGGAGCGAGGCCCACTGTCAGTTTTGAAGGAGAAAGATTTACCCCTGGCTTTGGAAAATGACCACACCGATGTTCTGGTCTTAGGATCGACTCTTCCAAGTACATGGCCAAATCTATGCAAACATCCCCTCCCCCCCCCCCCCCCCCCCCCCCCCCCCCCCCCCTCCTCTCCCCCTCTCCTGTTTTGTTTGAATGGCAGGAGCCCTGAGGTTTGGTGTATTAGCGAAAGTGTATTGCTTGTATTATAGCCATATATTCAGGTTTCGTGATTTTTCAGTGAATGATATTGCATCCCTTGAATTGTTTGGAAATTTTGTTTTCTTTCAAAGCGTACGCTTCTGGACCTCCCACTGATTGAGACAGATATAACATATCGCGGATTATGCGTGCCTCGCATACAAAACCTTTGTTGTATAGGAGCGGGCGGCAGCGGGAGCGGGCATGGGCAGGTGACGATGGGCGGCGTGGGCGGGCGCCCTGTCTCTCTCTCTCTCTCTCTGATGTGGGTGGAGGAGGGGTGCACACCCGTGTGCGCGCACGCGAGTGTGTGTGTGTGTGTGTGTGTGTGTGTGTGTGTGTGTGTGTGCGTGTGTGTGCGTGTGTCTATGAATCTGACTCCAATCGCCTATACAAGATTTTCTAGGAGTTGTCCTACCTGTATGAGGGCGCACACTCGTACAGGTAGGACTCTTCCTACAGAATCTTGTAGGTGATTGCAGTCAGATTCATAGATTCCAACTGTTAACTGCTATTATGTTCAGTTGTGCCTCACACCCCTCGCCCGACAATGTCAGCTTTGCTGAATCTCAAGGTATATTCACAGTAGGACTTTTTCTCAAATTTTCTGCCAATGCCTCTAACTTCAGTCAGATACATTTCAGCAAGTGCTATGGTGAGCACTGAGCATGCCCTGAGTTGGCGCACCCATGAGAAGTTCTAGTGTGAGCATGCCCTGAGTTGGCACACCCATGAGAAGTTCTAGTGTGAGCATGCCCTGAGTTGGCACACCCATGAGAAGTTCTAGTGTGAGCATGCCCTGAGTTGGCACTCCCATGAACTGTTGAATTACAAGCTTGAGTCGGAATCCGCCTCCTCCCCCCTTCCGCTTTCTTGAGTCTGAGCCTCTGAGGGCATACTCACACTAGAACTTTTTATGCCAATTTCTGCAGGTCAGTGCAGTCAGATGCATGAAGACCAACCGTATCTGTGGTGAGATACATTTGGGAAAGTGCAAGTCGGAGAGTATGCCCTGAGTCGATACAGACATGAAATGCTACTGACACTTTTCTGCCAACTTGTACTTTCCCAAATATTGCAGTCAGATTCATGAAGTCCGTACACATGCCGTAACTGGGGTCAAATGCATCTAGGGAAGTGCTAGCGTGAGTATGCTGCAGTCCGTACACACGCATGAACGATTGAAATACTATGAATACTAGTATGAAATACGGACCTGAGTTCGAATCCATTGTCGACTCGGAGTACAGACCCGAGCTTGAATGCGATCGGCTATGTCCAACTATCGCCTGAGTCTGAGTTTAAATGCATCGGGCCCCCACATGCCTCCACTGGCATTGTGAGCTTTGTTGGAGCTTATGGTATCTAGTCGAAGTTTCAGTCCACATGCATCTAGAATATACAGAAAAGTAACTACCGGCTAACAGACCGAACAGTCGTTAAAATTGCAGCGAAAAAGAAAGTTGCGGCAAGCACAGTTGTAATGATTGTATGTATATTTTATTCTAGAGTTCTAGAGAAGACGGAACTGATCTTAGAGAGAATGCAGTAAACAATTGCGTGCCTCCTGTACAGCGACTTTGTATTTGCGAGAAGACGGTGCCAATCTTTGAGAATATGCACTAGAAAAATTGCATGCCATGCTTGCCGGTAACAAGTAACCGGACTGGTGCCCCCCAGAATTGAAGGGGTGAGTGTGTTGTGTGAAAAAAAAAAAAAAAAAAAAAAAAAATAAAAAAAAATTGCATGCCTTCTCACTGATTCCATTGCCGCCTCTTTCGTGCGGGTTTCCATTCCGATTCCATTCCCAGTTACTGCACAAATGGTTAACGGGGACCCCCATTTTCAGGCCCTGGGTAACGAGTCCAAAGCTGAAATTAGGGTTTTGGGGTCAAATTTTATGGTTTTTTTTTTTTTTTTTTTTTTTTTTTTTTTTTGCCTGTTCTACCACGACACCCCTCCTCAAGGATGGAGCCAGCATACTCGGTAGGTAGGGAAATAGCAGGTACGGAATCGGGAAGCAAGTTGGGCAATGAAATTAATTCAGAAAAAGTTGAAAAGTAATCGATTACTCCAGAGCCCGCCGCGAACCTAGACGTGGACAGCAGTTCAGACATAGACCTATATATATATATATAATATATACTTAGTCGTAGACCTGAACCTCAGACCTATACCTCGACTCAGAGCTATAGCAGCATCAAGAATGCTTATACCTAGATGCAGAACCAGACAGAGACCGCAGAGATGTGAGACCCAGACGCGGACCGTAGAATCCTCTCGCGTCGGGCAGGCCTGACTCACTCTTGAATGAACCAGCCCTTGATCTGGTGCCAGATCCAGTCAAAGTCAAGGCTTGTTATTCACCGCGGACCTCAAAACAGAAATGACGATGATGGTAATGTTCGTAATCTGTTTTTGTTCTTGTGACGCACAAGCAAGCAAGACTGGTGCTGGAGAGAACAGGGAGAGAATGCTGAGATGAAAAGGGAAAAGCGAGGACGAGAAAGAGGTGGGAGGGAGAGGAAGCGAGGGATAAAGCGGGGGAGAGATGGAGTGAAAGAGACAAGGAGAGAAGGAGAGTTGGAGGCGGAAGAGGATGGGAATAGCAAGAGAAGAAGAGTAAGAAGAGTTGCAAAAGATAAAACAAACGAGAGATTCTCTAGTCAATCGTCCAGTTCTCGTCATATGGTGATGCAATCATGCAAGGCTCCTTACATCCGACCCAAAAAAAAATGACCAGCGAGAGACAGAGACAGAGACAGACGAAGTAGGAGGATGATATATCATGTTAGAGCCTACAAGCAAGGCCCTCACAGATTAGAAAAAAAGGGAAAAAAAAAAAAGAAAAGTTTACTCTTTATTAGCCTCTGTAACTTCAAAACCCCCTGGCCTTGGAGCGCACTGGCATGGGAGCAAGTTATACGTTTAGCACCGGTCACGACATATAATGTGGATCTATTGATATGGCTAGATAATCGATCTTGGTCTATCCCTCGAGGAATCAATAGAGAATGGGATGTAGGAGAGGCCTCCGACAGACGAGCGGCAAAGGGAGGCCTTTGCAAGGATCCTTAGAAAAAAAAAAAACAAAAAAAAACAAGAGGAGACTAAATGGGTAAAATGATAAAATGATGAAAATCGAATCAGATCTTCAGAATCAGGGTCCTGAGGAGAAACGATGTATGGTTAGCCTTTTTAGACCAGGTACACCTCTTTCGCAGCAGGCCCAATTAATTGAGTTTAGACTTCTTTCGGGAGAGAAGACGAAGAAGAACATATGCTAGAGCTTTCCATGCCTTAATGGTCAAATCGACCTATCGAATGCTCTGTACAAAAAAAATAATATGAAAGAAAGACATCGACTCACATAGTGATGGCCAGATGGATGAAGCACCTTTTTTTTTTTTTTTTTTTTTTCTATTTGGTTAAAGCGCACCTTAATATCAGTAGGGAGGCTCCTGCGAATGTAACATGGTTTAGCCAAACCAGCAAAAGTCGCCTCTCTACAATGATGAATTGAACACCGCTGTCTCCCCACAAATGATTGGTTGGTAGACCGCTCCTCTCCTTTCGAACAAAGAGGTTTAGGGTTTATGGTTTATGGTTTACCCTTGGTGGAAATTCTGTAGAACAGCATTCCCCAACCTAAACAGTCCCACCCAAAGACCATTGAGCATCGCTGTCTTCCCAAAGACCATTGAGCATATATCTTTGGTACGCCCGGGTGGCATCTGGTTGTGGGGAAGCTGGAGATGGAGGGATCGAATCTGGAGTGAGCTGGGACCCTTTTTTTTTTCTTTTTTTTTTTTCTGGCCATGCAATTGGAAGATTCTTTTGTTGGAATCGTGGGTACCAGAACCAAATGGCGACTTCACTCGAAACAATCTTCGGTATAGGGAGAAGGGTTATTCTTTGGGCAATCTGGACGACGAGGTGCACCTATGAATGGGAACGAGAAGAAGATTCGATGGCCGCAGAATTCTCAGAAACAATCAAACAAGAAGTCCAAAATGATATCTCGATCCGATGCCAACAAACAACAGAAAAAATTACAGCATTTACATGCACGTCCTGAAATACTTAATCGTATTCAAGACTTTAGTCACTGCTGGCTGGGGGGGAAACCAGGGAGGGAAACTGGGAAAGGTTAAGTGGGATGGCGCTCAAGGTGATGAGACTGAGGAGATGCGCAGTGATTATCGTTTTGTTTTTTCAGACTGGACAACCGTGGATCAGACTGCCCCCATGCACCCACCCCCTTTCTGATTTCCCAACCCCCTTTCCCTCACCCCCCCCATTGAGTTTGGTTCCTAGATAGTCGTTTGGGTACGAGGGCAAAAGGGGAGAGACAATTTTGCTTTCAAACGAGAGCTGAACTTGAACTGAACTAGTGCTACCATCTTCACCCGAATAGAAGGCCCGGACATTATAACTGTATGTATTTGGCACAACTTTCTGTCCAGATACGGCGATAATTACCGGGCATTCTATTCAGGTGACCACGGTAGGTTTAATTAACTTTAATAGTTTGATATTTTATTTTATTTTTTTGGCCCAGTGCCCAAGTCTCAAATTATCAAGTTGAATACAATGCCAAAACATGCCTCTTCCCATTAAGCCTGGAAGAGCCTCAGCCACTGCTCCCATAGAGACAGCTTCCCCTTACAACTGAAGTGCAGTGCGAGTAAGTGGCATTGATTGCTTCCCC